GCCGGTTTGGCTCAGTGGATTGAGCATCAGCCTGGGGACTGAAGGGTCCTGGGTTTGATTCCGGACAAGGGCACATGCCTTGGTTACAAGCTTGATCCCAGCCCTGGTTGGGGTGTGTGCGGGAGGCAACCAATTGATATATCACTCTCACATCGAAGTTTCTCTGTCTCTGTCTCTCCCCCGCCATTGCACTCTAAAAAATCAATGGAAAAATATCCTCAGGTGAGAATTAACAACAAAATAGAAGTCTTTTTTTAAAAAATGTTTTTACTGCTTTTTAGACAGAGAGGAAGGGAGAGGGTAAGAGAGGTAGAAACACTGATGAGAGAGAAACATCATAGATCAGCTGCCTCCTGTGTGGCCCTGATGGGGAATCAAACCACAACCCTGTGTTTGGTTAACAGGTGGAGGAAGCTCAATCACTGAGCCCACACCCATAGGCCATGAAAAAGAAGGAAATCTTACTCTTTGTGACAGCATAAATGGACCTGGAGATCATCATGCTAAGTGAAATAAGCAAGTGAGAAAAAGGCAAGTACCATATGATTTCACTCATATGTGAAATCTAATGAATAACAGATTAACAAGCAAAATAGACACTCACAGGTAGAGAGAACAAGCTGATTGCTCACTATGTGGGGTGGGAAGGGGGCTGGGTGAGGAGGGGGTGGTGGAGGGTTTGAGCCAAGAAGAGAAAAAACTCATGGACATGGACAACGGTGTGGTAATTGCTGTGGGGAGGGGAGGTGGGGGAGGGAATAAAGGGGATAAATGGTGTTGAACGGAAACTTGACTTGTGGTGGTGAACACACAATACAGTATACAAATGATGTGCTGTAGAATTATGCGCCTGAAACCTGTATAATTTTGTTAAATAATGTCACCCCAATAAATTCAATAAAGGGGGAGGAGAGTATGCCTCAAACACTGTACCAGTCATCATCAATCATTTTTAAAAAAATATATTTTACTGCCCTAGCCGGTTTGGCTCACTGGATAGAGCATCGGCCTGGGGAATGAAGAGTCCCGGGTTCGATTCCAGTCAAGGGCATGTACCTTGGTTGCAGGCACATCCCCAGTAGGGGGTATGCAGGAGGCAGCTGATTGATGCTTCTCTCTCATCGATGTTTCTAACTCTCTATCCCTCTCCCTTCCTCTCTCTGTAAAAAATCAATAAAATATATTAAAATAAAAGAGGATATATAAAATACTGTCAACAATAAAAAAATTTTTAAAAAATACATATTTTACTGATTTTTTACAGAGAGGAAGGGAGAGGGATAGAGAGTCAGAAACATCGATGAGAGAGAAACATCAATCAGCTGCCTCCTGCACACTCCCCACTCGGAATGTGCCTGCAACCAAGGTACATGCCCTTGACTGGAATTGAACCCGGGACCTTTCAGTCCTCAGGCCAACGCTCTATCCACTGAGGCAAACCTGTCAGGACACATCAATCATTTTAAATCAAAAAAGTTGCTGTTGGGTTACACTGGAAGCTTAGTAAAATGAAATAAAGGGATGAGAAAGCCAAAGTTGTATAATACAAGATTTCATGGGAGAAGTGTGAGCAAATATCTTACTAATAAAGCAGGAAGAGAAACTGAGAAATATACTTTAGGGTGACTTCAATCACAGTATCTAAATTTTGGGAGTAATATGAACCAAATCACTTATTAAAACATGTGCATTGCCCTAGCCCAGTGGTCAGCAAACTGCGGCTCGCGAGCCACATGCGGCTCTTTGGCCCCTTGAGTGTGGCTCTTCCACAAAATATCACGTGCGGGCGCGCACGTCCAGTGCAATTGAAACTTCATGGCCCATGCGCATAAGTCGGTATTTTGTGGAAGAGCCACACTCAAGGGGCCAAAGAGCCGCATGTGGCTCGCAAGCCGCAGTTTGCCGACCACTACCCTAGCTGGTTTGGCTCAGTGGACAGAGCCTCTGCCTGTGGACTGAAGGGTCCCAGGTTTGATTCCAGCCAAGGGCACATGCCTGGGTTGCAGGCTCAATCCCCAGTGGGGGTCGTGCAGGAGGCAGTTGATCAATGATTCTGATCATTGATGTTTCTATCTTTCTCTCCCTCTCCCTTCCTCTCTGAAATCAATAATATATATATTTATATATTTTAAATGCGCTTTTGTGTTTGTATGAATTTTTTTTAGGGAAAGAATTTCGAATGGAGGGAGTAGACACCCATTCTAAAAAAGTGAAATATAACTAGAGCAAAAAAGTTGGGAGGAAAAAATGTCTCTCCTTTAACCTGAACTAGTTTTGGAAATGGTTTCATTTATAAAAAATTTTAAAGTACTAAGCATTCTGCTTAGTAATTTAAAAACCATATTTATTAAAGGCCTTGCCACAGTAACATAATTTTAAAACACAGGATACTCCACTCCTCTAAGTGGATTTCAAGCTATAGCCCAAACCAAAAGGCAACCTACAGTGGTTAAGAGTGCAGTAGCCTGGCTCTGTCATTACTAATGGGTGAATTTGGGCTACTTACCTTATCAAAGCCTGAGGTTCTCATCTTAATCCACTGTTCAGTAAATAAAAGCTGCCTCTGTTGTTGCTGTTATTATTATTAACAACACTACACACAGTCAAAACTGGGTCATAATACTGTTTTGGTAATTTTAAAAAATACTAAGTATTTTTAAAAATGTGCTGAAAACTCAAATAGTAGGGAGAGAAGGGATCAATATTCAGTCCTTACACAAAGACCTCAATAAGAATCAGTTTCTTGTGAAAATTTTCTCTATATAGTTCTAAGTTTAAGAACCTTTGCCAGTATTTAAAAAAAAATTATTCCTGATGAAAATGAAACCTCAAAAGCAAGTGAGTTAAATTGGTTCAATATATAAATAGAAGCTATAAATGAAATTTTCATTATAAAGAAAAACGGGAAATTTTTCCAAGACTCATAAAAAAGCCAACTGAATTATTTGTGAAAGAAGAGAATCAAGGCTAAAACAGTGGACACATCATAAACCAAATTTATGTGTTAGGTTTTCTGTGTGTATTTTTTTAATCCTCACCAGAGGATATTTTTTCCATTGATTTTTTTAAAGGGAGTGAAAGAGAGAGGGAAAGACAGAAAGAAACATTGATGTAAAACACATCGACTAGTTGCCTCCTGCACGTGCCCTGGTCAGGGCCCGGGCCGGGGAGGAGCCTGCAACCAAGGTACGCGCCCTTGATGGGAATTGAACCCAGGACCCATTGGTCTGCAGGCTGATGCTCTATCCACTGAACCAAACTGGGCTGTGTGTTAGTTTTAACATTATTCCTCTCTAGCCCACAATCAAACATTTTTCCAAATTGCTGATGAGAAAATTTAACTTCAGTGAGTTCCTTCCATCTTTTTATTCTTCCTTACCATCAGGAAGAGCTACAAAAAGCAATAAAGTAACTAAAATTAAAGTGGGAACAGAAGAGAAAAACAAAGGACCTGGATAACCAGACCTGTGAATAATCTGAAATGGATTAAAATTGATAGTTTTATAGAAAGATCTAAAAATTATATTTTAATTAGCAGTAAAATCAGATATAAAAAATATGTTAATAATGCATATTAGCTCTGGCCTGGTGGTTTAGTTGGTTGGAGCCTCATCCTGTGCACCACAAGGCTGTGGGCTCTATTCCCAGTCAAAGGTGAATATGGGAGGCAACCAATCAATGTTTCTCTTTCACATCTATGTTTCTCTCTCTGTCTCTCTCTTTTTCAAATCAATACAGAAATATATCCTCGGGTAAGGATTCTTTAAAAATACAAATGTATGCACTATATCTGTAGTAGTAATGTGAACAGCACACAAAATATTCCTTAGGTATTCAAAAACAAGATGCTCATCTCATGGATAGTTTTGACATGTCTTTTCCCTACTCTCATCTTATTCTTAACTTAAAGGAAAATATTAACATGTCCAAACTATACCTGTTTGTCAACTGCAATTACAGGTTGGCTACAGAAAGAAGAGTTGGCAGAACTCAATCAAAGCATTCTGTGAGAACTAACTGGCTACAGAGTCTGCAATAGGAATATTATCTATTTTACTAGAGGGCAGGTGCACGAAATTCATACATGGGTGGGAGGGGGGATCCGCTCAGCCAGGCCTGTACCCTCTCTAATTCGGGACCACTCAGGGGATGTCCAACTGCCTTTTGTAATCTAGGACCACTGGCTCCTAACCGCTCACCTCCCTGCCTGCCTGATCACCCCTAACTGCTCCCCTACTGACCTAATCACCCCTAACTGCTCCCCTGCTGGCCTGATTGCCCCTAACCGCCTCTGCCTCGCCCCACACCCGGGACCTAGAATTCCCTTCTCTGGCCGGTTGCAGACACCCAGAACCCGGGCTTCCCTCCCTCTGACCTGCCGCAGGCACCCAGGACCTGGGCCGGCTTTGCCCAGGCCGGCTGCAGCCACAGGAAACCATGGGTGGGTGGCTTTGCCCGGGCAGCGGCCGCAGGCACCCAGGACCGTGGGGCGGGCAGCTTGTCCTTCTCCCGGGCCACAGGCACAGACGCTGGCACCTGGGACAGCGGGGCATGCGGCTTGTCCCTCTCCCAGGCCGCAGGCGCAGACGCAGCCGCTGGTGCCCGCAACCGCAGGGCGGGTGGCTTGTCCCTCTCCCGGGCCACAGTCCCAGCCGCTGGCGCCCGGGACCACGGGGCATGCGGCTTGTCCCTCTCCTGGGCCGCAGGCACTGGCGCCTAGGAGCGCAGGGCAGGCGGCTTGTCCCTCTCCTGGGCTGTAGCCTGGCTGGTCCCCATTCCTCTCTGGAGAGCTCATTTGTGCCTGGGTGGTCCCCATTCTTCTCTCCCCAGTGTTGAGTGTTTGAGCCTTTACGGTGTGATGGCTGATGACCATTTGCATATTAGCTCTTTATTATATAGAATTATTACTTGTAAGTTCTTTACTGCATTATCTATATCAGTAAAATTTATAAATTTATTGTACAAAAAAAAAGAGAAAGAAATGAGATAAAACATGATACCTGAATATCTTTCTTGACTGCTTTAGCTTTGTTATCCAGAACTTTCTTCCTAAATTCAAGAAGAACTTCTTTACAATCTTCAAGATGAACCTCAGGCTCCCAGGTATCATCATCTGAGGTGTATCCTTTCCACCGAACTTTGTAAAGGATTTTACCCTGTTACATAAATTAAAAATAGGCAAATAAAAGATATTACTGACTTGATTAAATTTCCAAAACAATACAATTACTGAGAATATGGAAGCAAACTTGAAATGGAGGTTAATATAATTATAAAGTATGTTCATCTCCTGAAGTGGCTTAAGAAAAAAATAGGAGCACACCAAAAGCAAAAACAAAGCTTCTGCACAGCAGAGGAAATAACAAACAAGATGAAAAGGCAGCCCACTGAATGGAAGAAAGTATTTCCAAATCATTTAAGGGGCTAATATACAAAATATATAAAGAACTCATGTAACTCAACAGCAAAAAACAAAACCCATCTGATTTAAAAATGGGCAGATCTAAACAGACATTTTTTCAAAGAAGATATACAAATGGCCAACAGCAAAATGAAAAGATGTTCAAAATCATTAATCATCAGGGAAATGCAAATAAAAACCATACAGGTATCACCTCACACGTTAGAATGGCTGTTTTCAGTAAGATAAAAAATAACTAGTATTGGTGAGGATGTGCAGAAAAGAAAACCCTATGCACCATTGGTGGGAATGTCAATTGGCGGGAATGGCAACCACTGTAAAAAATAGCATGGAGGTTCCTGAAAATATTAAAAATAGAACACGATCCAGCAATTCCACTTCTGGGTATGTAGCTTAAGAAAATGAAAACATTAACTCAAAAAGACATATGAACCCCCATGTTTACTCAGCATTATTCACAATAGCCAGATATGGAAGCAACCTTGGTGTCCATCAACAGATAAAGAAAACGTACACGTACACACACACACACACACACACACACGGCGTGGCAAAAGTAGGTTTACAGTTGTTCATATGGAAAACTAGTGGCCCAGTGCATGAATTCATGCACACTGAAAGGAAATTAGAAGAAATATTTTAATATCGCTATTCGCCCTTTCTCTAAATAGAAGGGTCAACAAAATTCACGATCATTAATGACAGATCGAAATGTGTACGATTGGTGCCAGCAAGAGCTTTATATGTATCGTGCATGCACGAGTCAACTTAACCTTTTATAGATATAGAATAAACTTGCTTAATTAGGCCTTCTTTCTGATTTAGCTAAACATTTTCCAGCCCAGTGAAGCGTCCCAACTTTTCAGGTAATTATCAGCAATACAGCAGTAAATATCAACATGAAGCACATTATTATTGTAGATCACAAAGGGAGAACAAAGGGTGAAATATTTAACTGCAGCAGTGTTTTGACTATATTCTGTGCAGAGAAAACCTGAAGTCATTTTCAAGGTTTACCATTTCTTTCTTCTTTTCAGTCAGGTCAAGTTTCTAAGCTTTCTAAATGGCCGTTTTCCGGTTAATGAAAAGAAAATAGGATTCCACCGAGTCTCCTATCTACCTACTCCAGGATTTCTGTGAGGATCAAATGAGATGAGGCACAAGAAAATGCTTCACAAACATTTGGTTAAAGTGTAAAATGTCTGCACCTGGTTATAAAGCAAGTCGTGTTCCTGGGCTGAAGAAACTCCAAGGAGGCTAGTAATTGCTAGGGAGAGGAAGCCGAGCGTTCCTACGTGACGTCATTAACCGGTGCCCACAGCAACTGTTTCCTGGCTGGGCTGGGTTGTGGGCCACATTTTGCGCCATTGGGTCTCTGCAGCATTGGCTGCGATTTGGTGGGTGTCGCTCTGGGGTGGTGCTGTGGCCTGTGTCCCACTTGGGGGAAGCCAAGTGTTGCTTTGTAGGCAACAGGTCTGCGGTGCCATTTCTCTGTAAATGGCCACTGTGCGTCACAACAGCTCCTGCGTTGAACATGTCCCCTGGTGGTAGGTGTGCATCACAGTGACCTGTCAGATGGTCAGACACTTAGCATATTAGCCTTTTATATATATAGACTAGGGGCCCGGTGCATGAAATTCGTGCGCTGGGTGTGTGTGTGGGGGGGGTGTCCCTCAGCCCAGCCTGCCCCCTCTCACATACTGGGAGCCCTCAGGGGATGTCCTAGTGACAGCTTAGGCCCGCTCCCTTGGAGATAGGGCCTAAGCCGTAGTCTGGCCTCCCTTTGTGGGAGGCGACCGGGCTGATCAGGGGAAGGCACCAGCCCCATCACCCCGCTGCTGCAGCCACTGCCAGTCACCGCAGCCAGCAAGGATTTTTCATCAACACGGACTCCAGTCCCTTCACCATGAAAAAATGACAACTTTCTTTAGGCATTTTCAAGATGTGTCTTTCATATAAAAAGAATTTCTTTCTTTATTTATTTTTTATCCTCACCTGAGGATATGTTTCCATTGATTTTTAGAGAATGTGGAAGAGAAAGGGAAAGACAGAGAGAAACATCAAAGTGAGAGGAACACTTTGATTGGTTGCCTCCTGCATGAGCCCTGACCTGGGCCCCGGCCAGGGAGGAGCCTGCAACCTAGGTACATGCCCTTGGTCAGAATTGAACTCAGACCCTGCCATCGGCAGGCCAAGGCATTATCCACTGAGCCAAACCAGCTAGGGCAGGATATGACACTTCTTAGCCCTCCAGCAGCGGACCTTCGTTTTTTTCGCCAGGAGTGTGGTGAAAAACCCTAGATCACCTTTTTGGATTCTTATTACCCAAGTTACTAAGACTATTACCAGTGGCATACAGGGAGCTTAACCAATGAGCGGTCAGAAAAGGTGTTTCCTCTGTAGTTCACACCAATCGCTGGCTTAGCCACCACCCGGCCCTACCCCCGGCGCGCCCCCCCCCCCCCCCCCCCCCCGCCGCCCCAGGCCTGACGCCTCTGGCCCAGGCTTTAGGCCTGGGCAGGGAACCCCCATCTTCTCCCCGATCACCGGCTCCTCCCACGCCCAGGCCTGACACCTTCGCCAGAGGTGTCGACCCCCATCACCCTCCGATCGCCAGATCAGCCCCTTGCCCAGGCCTGATGCCTCCGCCAGAGGCGTCAGGCCTGGGCAGGGGACCCCCCCACATCCCCAATCACCGGTTGTGCCCCCCACCCAGGCCTGATGCCTCTGGCCCAGGCGTCAGGCCTGGGCAGGGATGCCCAACCCCTCCAATTGCCAGCTCCGCCCCCCGCCCAGCCTGATGCCTCGGCCAGAGGCGTCGACCTCCATCACCCTGCGATTGTCAGATCGGCCCCTTGCCCAGGCCTGACGCCTCCTCCAGAGGTGTCAGGCCTGGGAAGGGGACCCCCATCTCCCCCCAATCACCAGCTTCTGGGGCTGGCCTGCGGCCCGGGATGGCAGCTTGCACTGGCGGCTGCGCTGTTCTGCCCTGCCTGCAGTATGCAAATTAGCCGCCATCTTTGTTGACGTTTAATTTGCATATCGTGCTGATTAACCAATGGGATGCATAACGAAGGTATGGTTAATTACCATGTTTGTCTATCAGATAGGGTAATACAATAATTAATGCCTAATAATACAAGAATAAACTGTTTTGCATACTCCCAACTATAAACCGAATTTTGCCCCACCCTATATATTATTCAGCCATAAAAGCATATGAAAATTGCCTTTTGCAACAACATGGATGGATCTAAAGCAGTGGTTCTCAACCTTTTTTTGGCCATGCCCCACCTAAGCATCTCCAAAATCCTAATGCCCACCCCTGTGCCGTGCCAGCACAGCCACAAGTTCGGTGAGCCGGGGGGGGGGGGGGGGGGGGGGCGGCAGCGAAGGATGTAGAAAAGACAAAGAGAATAAGCTGGGTCTAGGTGGATCTTCCTGTGCCTTCCTGAGGCCACAGAGAGAGACCCAGACAACAAGCTGAGCCTTTATTTTATAGCCAGAGGTAAACAAGGTAGTGGTCACCATGGTTACAATTTTCTTGTGAGTTTCACTTGTTTTAGCAGCACTTGCTGCACCTCCCACAGTCCATTAGCTACCCAGGTAAGATCTATGGAACATCATAAGATCAAGCTTAATTATGTTAAGAGGGCTGTGCCCTCTAAGCTGGCACCTGTTTGTGGCTTTGCCAACAGGTCAATCTGAGGCTTAACCCTATAGCCGCTCCCTACATACCGAGTGACATATAATTCTTATTATTCAAAAAGTGAACTCTTACTCATGTGGAGGAAGACTAAAAGGCCATTAACACATTGTATGCGGGAAACGTATTTATACGTTTTATGTATTTATACGTTCTACCAATGTAGTAGAGCGCGGGACACGTATTAATACATTTTTTAAAGACTAGCAGTAGAATGCGGGTAACGTATAAATACGTAAACTAAAGTTATCGTAATTTTTCTGAACGTTGCCATTTGTGCAAAAAATTAGCAAAAATGGCCCACGCCACCTGTTAGCGCGTGATAAAAACTACCTGCAAACATTGTGTTAAATGGGTCTAAACAAGCTTCCGAAGAACATGGCATCCATTACAAATAAAAGAACGACAGTCGAAGAACTGAGGAAGAAATCACTAAGAAACTGTTTAAAAAATAATAATATGAAGTGATATGAAAAAATAGCAAATAAAGTTCAAAAACATATAATAGAGAACAGAAATACGTCAGAATATATATTTATAGAGTGTATATGAGGCCCCTAGAATCATAAGAAATACAAAAAATTTACTATTAATAACTCATTCTCTAATTGCCCTCTTGAACCCTTTTTGGTCCAACGTGGAGGCTGACTCGACAGACCAGGCACTAGGAGCAGGTCCAACGTCGAGGCTGAGGTCGACACTGCAAACCGGTTCAACATTCAATTCCGTCAATTAATTTGGACCAGACTGTTTGAATTCCAAAAAAAAATTGGACCGCAAAGGGTTAAAAATCAAATAACCCCCACTGTGGGGCGAGTGCCCCACATTGGGAACCACTGATCTAAAGAGTATTATACTAGAGAAACCAAGATGGCGGCAGGTAAACACCTGAAATTAATGCCTCGCACAACCACTTCAAAACTACAAATTAAAGACAAAACGGACATCATCCAGAACCACAAGAAGGCTGGCTGAGTGGAAATTCTACAACTAGAAGGAAAGAGAAAAGCACACTGAGACTCAGAGGA